CCAAACCTGAAACCAAGAGTTAAACCACTCTCTGCAAACTCCACGCTAACCTACTGGAATCCTATGACTTATCTGGACATGCTAGAAGTGGTTTGCCCAAAGGCTAAATTTCTGACACTAAAAAGATATATTCAATAGCCTTACAGGGTACACCCAGAATTATATGTCACCAAAATTAACAGAACTCACCTCCTAGCTGAATGGGATGGTTTACATTCATCCATTTGGATTTGGGCAAGGCCACCAACACCCCTTTCTCCCTCTTCATCAGCTGCATAGTAATGGTATCCCCAACAACATACTGATGTGACTCTGTGGCAACAACACTGTAACATGGACGTTTAGATGTAGCAGAGCAAGGAGTTAGCACACTGGGGTCTAATCTAGAAATTGTCTCAATCTCACCTCTTGAGATCCTTCTTATGCACAGAACTGTAACAGATAGGACATTTACTCCAGGTTTTCTCACTCAGTGAAAGATAGTGCAGGATGCATGCCCAGCAGAAGATGTGTCCACAACGGGTTATCTTGGCTGCAGTAGGTGGATACAGGCATATAGGGCAAGATGGCACTTCATGGCTACAAATGCGCTGAAACAAAATGCCACCACAAGTTTTACTGCTTTCAGTATTGACCTAGAGATTGTCAAAGTTAAAGCTTCTCCTCTCTCATCCCCATCCCTGTACCTCTCTACTCAACACATTTTCATAAAATTGTTTAACAATGCAAGTATCCATATGACATAGCATTTTAAGCAAATCATTAAGAAAACCATAATAATGATTTAACATAAGAAAACAAATATATAACAGGTATTTCGGGGGTTTCTACATTAAAGGAATGAGAATCACTATATGATCCTCTTTACAAAATAGATTTAACATGTAAGCATACATAAAGGCATAAAAAGGGTCTAGAAGTAATCTCGCAGTAATTTCCAACACAGGAGTTAATGAGACTTTTGCTTTATGTTTTTTGGGGGAAGTGGGGGGGGGGGGCAGCTGGCCAGCACTGGGAGCTGAACCCCTGACCTTGGTATTACAAAGGCCATGCTCTAACCAACTAAGCTAACTAGACAGCCCTTCCATGAATTTATTTATCTATCTATTTATTTATTTATTTATTTATTGGCAACTGGCTGGTATACTGATCTGAACCCATAACTTTGGTGTTATAAGGCTGCGCTCTAACCAACTCAGCCAACTGGTCAGCTCCCTATATTTTTTTAACCAACGTACATAAAATTAAGTTTTATAAGCCTTCTATGTCATTCTCAGATGATTTTATGAATTTTCACAATAATGGGAACCCAAGTTTTGGGGTCAAAAACCCCTGTTCGTCAAAATAAAAAGTGCCTGTCATTTTTAAAGTATTCTGTATCAGACACCCTATTAAGATCAGCAAAGAGATACCTAGAGTTCATAACTTCAGTAGAAAACAAATGCAGCTGTGGCTTCGACAGAAGGTACAGCTGTGTGGCTCATTCACCTGCCACAAGGCTGAGGCCTAATTTGATACTGATCACTATAAATGACTGGCAATGAAGCAAGGTACATGTAATGAGCCCGCCCCAGATGAGATGGGTAAGCAGAGTCCCTCAGAGCCCCTAGCTACTACTTCCCAGGTGAGGAGCTGGTAGATAGAACCTCTTATACACCTTCAGATCAGAGCCTTCTACATCCCATCCCTCCAGACCAATGCCAATTAGTCACAAAATGAACTCCAGGAGACACCAGGGACTGACCTTTGGGAAATGTCTACAATAAGGCCAGGCAGAAAAGCACATCAGCAATAAACACAGCCAACGGTTACTGTATCACCACAATCCATTTCTTTAGTTCTCTCTCCTATTAACGGCTTATAGGTTTGGCTGAGCCATTTACTCACCACTTGTTCCACAAAGTCCCAATTGACTAAGGTATCAGGATCAGCAAAATGAGCTGTGTAGTCTTGGTCTTCAGACACCACAAATTGGCAGCTAGAAACGAGGAGGAAGACAGGTCAAAGACAGACTATCAGAATCCACCAACAAGCCCTCAGCAGTCATCATCTCTTCACACAGAGATCAAATGCAAGCCACTAGCCATGGTTTGTGAAACACTGTACCAGGACTTCAGCCTCAGTTCTGAGCCCTGGCTTTAGAAGGAATCCAAGGACTCCGTGGGTAGAAGTCTAAATCTATGAACTGTTTCTTCTGCTTCCAAGCTCAGTCAAGTTCCCTATAAGCCTCCCTTGAACTAAAACGAACCCAAACGGTGGCTCCATCAACCAGAGTAGGCCAGATTTCCTCCCTCACCCCTCAGAATCTCAGAAAATGGCAAGGCTTCAAGACAGCAGAAAAGATGTTGTTGATCATTTACAGACCAGTTTATATAAAGTACAAAATGGTTACTTCAGTCTAGATCCAAGGTCAATTCTTACATTATGACAAATGCCAAACAAAAGGAAACAATAGGGAATCAGTACTTGAACAAATGTATGCCAAGCACTTCAAATTGTCATTCAATTTCTGGCTGGCCAATTAGTTCAGGTGGTTAGAGCACCGCCTTATAACACCAAGGTCAAGGGTTCAGATCACTGAACTGGCTGGCTGCCAAAAAAAAAATTCTTCTGTCTTCTCTGCACTGGGAACAGCTCTCCTGCCAAAGCCACTCACCCCCTGAAAGTGCATGCCTACTCCAAATTTGTCTCCACCCATTACTTGGTCAGGAGCACACTGCTGAGCTGACCCACTGTCTACAGTGGTGCTGAAACGACCAAGACACTGACAGATGAGAGCCTCAGCAGCTTGGCAGTCCCTTGTCCCCTGACTTCACTTGTCCCTAGTCATAGCTCCAAACCAGTGCCATTTCAAGGGACATCAACGCAACAGCCGAGTTCGATGGGGCTGCCACAATTGGGGTGGCTGGCTCTGGAGCTAGAATTGGGACTATGCTTGGGAGCCTCGTCATTGGTTATGTCAGGAACCATTCTCTGAAGCAACAGCTCTTTTCCTACACCATTCTGGGCTTTGTCCTTTTGGAAGCAATGAAACTCTTTTGGCTAATAGTGGCCTTTCTCATCCTTTTCACCATGTAAAGGAGCTGTCTACACTTCCCATAGTTCTTTCTCTCGTGTCTTGTCTGCCCTGTATGTTCCTTTTCTTATACCTCCCATGGGAAAAGTGTTGGCTCACAGCTCGACAGAGGGAAGAAAAGTACTATATTAACAAGAAAAAAAAAAGAAAAAGAAAATTTCTTTTTTTTTTTTCCTTTTTGTCTTTTTTACTGACCAGTAACGGGATCGCAACCCT